ATAAATGGACACATCACAGTTTTAATATCTGAAAAATGTTTGCAGTCCTTTCAACTGGGAGTAAGACAAAGGCCATTCCTTCCCGCCTCCTTTCTACTCATTCCCATGTTCCTAACTCTTACATGGAGTACACATCTTAGGTTATTTTTAAGGTTAAAAAGGCTAAATATCATACATTGATATTTCAAAAATAAATTTGGACACATGAAAATGGCCAAATGTGCTGCCACGCCCTTTCCTCCCCCGTGTGTACAAGACCCCGCCCTGCCCACCAGGGAAAGGGTAGCTTGTTGGAGACCAAGCAGCTCCCACACCAGCTGCACCCATGGGACCAGCACAGAAAAGAGGAGTCACTGCCATGAGCACTCCTCCTGAGTGTGACAGGGATGTAGTTTGTTCGAACTTATCAGTAAGTAGGCAGCAAGCATGTTTCCCTGCCTATCCCCGTATGGTGTTAGGCACAATGCAGACCTGGAATCATGCTGCCACTCCAGGGAACCAAGGCCCCACCTCCTACTGAAGGTAGGCAGTGTACTCTGGGTGTCTGCGGGACAGACGGCCTTGCCAGTGTCTTTACATGGTGGTGAGTGTAGTTTGAGGAGATGGTGAGCATGGATGCCAAACTGACAGGTGGACTTGTACTGGGAACTTCACGGCAAGCGGAGGGTGTTTGGGATGACATTAGCATTTAGGTCAGCAGACTGACCTTCCCAATGGCGTGAGCTCACCCCATCAGCATAAGGGCTGATTAGAGTCTCCTGCCTGCAGGCTTCCTAACTGCAACCTAGCCCTCCAGCCTGGTGGTCTCTGGATTGAGCAGGAACCTCAGCTCTGCCGGACCTAACCGTGGCTCCAGAGTCATGTGTCAACTGCTTACACTAAATGGCTTCAGAGACAGAGCCTGAAATGGAGATATAGACACAGATCCTTTGCTCTCTCTGGGGATCCCAAACACAGAGTCTAGGGGGAGAAGGATTCTTGATCATTTTACAAGTTTTCTTAGTAATGATATTATTCTGGGGCCCACGATGTTAACCAAGTGTGGTGATCCCCACCCCTTTACTGAGGTTTCGCTCTCCATGGTTTCAGTTTCCTGCAATCAGAGAAATCCCAGAAATAAACAATTATTAAGTTTTAATTACACACCATTCAGAGAAACATAATGAAATGCCACTCTGTCCCACTTGGGACACCCTTTGGCCAGCATGTCCACACTGTTCCTATGTACACTGGACATTCTGAGAGAGACCGTTCACGAGACGTGCATTACAGTTTATCATTACAACTGTTCTTCGTTACTATCTTCTTACAGTGCCTCGTTTATAAACGAAGGCTTACAGACAGACGGGATGTGCAAGTATAAAAAAGCATGGTCCAGCCGAAACCAGTTTGGCTCAGTGGTAGAGCGTCGGTCTGTGAACTGAAAGGTCCCGGGTTCGATTCCGGTCAGGGGCATGTACATTGGTTGCGGGCACATCCCCGGTAGGGGGTGTGCAAGAGGCAGCTGGTCGATGTTTCTCTCATCGACGTTTCTAGCTCTCTATCTCTCTCCCTTCCTCTCTGTAAAAAAATCAATAAAATATATATTTTTAAAAAATCATGGTCCATACAGGGTTTGGTGCTGTGTTCAGGATGCGTTTGGAACTCATCCCCTGCAAATAAAGGAGGATGGCTGCACTAAACTGACTGACAGCCCAAGGCAGACTTCTGACAACTACCAGACTGAGCTGAATGGTATGAAAAAAACTAGGCATGAGACAAATGTGTACATAAACACATACCCACAAAAATCCTTAAAAAAGCAAACAAACCTATGAGTGAAAGATGTTCAACCCACACATACATTTTCTGAAGTTTTACCACAATTCAGTATTGGAGAGCATGGAAGAGAAACCAATCCTATGGTGTGCCCTAACCCACACCAAGTACGAGCACCACCGCCCTCCACAGACAAGCCTGAGGTGTGGCTTCAGGCCAAGTGGCCCACACTAGTACCACCCAGCACACGAACATTGGCACAAAGGACAACAAAACAAAACAGAACAGGAAAGCATTCTGTCTATTCTCCAGTCTCAAAGCTGATCTACACAGCAACCCTCAGAAAAGGCAAACACTTGAAATTCTAGACTTCCAGGAGATCTCCCAGCTAACCCCAACAACACCCACTAATCCCAGTAACACCAACTAAAAGTACAACTCATTTTTAAAGTGTCATTTCTTACACATTCAGAAGCAGAAACAGAATGCAGCCATGACACTGGAGCCCCCGGTGAGGCTGGGGGCACTGCCTAGTGCTCAGCAGCAGGCTCAGTATCGGCCAAACTGGTAGTAAACCCACGTCCACTGCCAAACTGGTAGTAAACCCACGTCCACTCCCCAGAGCTCCTCTGTTACAAAGTAGAGACTCTGGTTATACCCTAGACCTGGCTGTAGCACTGTATTTTTCAAGATTTACAAAAATCTAAACAAGGAACCAAGATGCAGGTGCTGGACCCAATGAGCTCCATGAACTTGACTCCCACAGAAATGCCCTCCTTATAGAAGGAAAACCATGTATCTCATCCTGTGGGTGCCCTTTCTGCCCCCTCCTCTTAACTCATGTTTACCTTCACCTTATACCTGAGCCTAGGACCCCTGCACCGCCTTCCAGAGGCAAGTGGCTCCCTGGACCAGAGGGACCAAAACTCCACAGACATGCGCAAAGCCTACAAGGGACTCAGGAAAATTATGACCCCAGGGCCACCTGCAAACTAGAGAATGAGGACCAGCCCTAGGCAAGCCCCCGGGAAACCAAACAGCAGAAGGCAGAGGGATGGGCTGGCCAGGGACTCAGACATGCCTGCTACGCTCTGGGGTGGCTGCCCCTGCTGGTCCAGCGGTCCAGGAGAGACCAGCCCATTCTCAGGATGAATGACCTTTCCCTATTTGGGGGAGAAGGGTAGTGTCAGGGAAGCAGTGGCTGGGAAACAATAGTACACACTAGCAACAACTGAATATCATCCACACAGCATCACCCTCATTTGCCAGCATAACCTTAAGTGAAATAACTATTTTCAAACGCAGCTCCACATCCTTAAATGTGCAACCGTTTCTGCTCCTAGGCCTCCCCACCCCACAGGAAACATGTGAGGGCAGCTGCTCTCCCTTAGTGCTCCTCACTCATGACCATGGACTTCGCAAGAAATTATTTCATTTTAACGCTTCTGGCCTGTGTCGCACCGCTGTCCTCAACATGTCCCAGGCGGGACCATGCAGGCATAGGTCACTCGGGGGCTTCCTTCCCCCTACAGTGCCCATGTGGCCCTGCCTTGGCTCCCGATTTCTCTGAGCAGGTCTAACTTGAAGCATTCCCCTCTGTCTCCTTTGCAATCTGCTGTTTCTGAGTAGAACACTGTCAGGAAGACAAATTCCTGACCCCAGAACGGATAAGGTCACCTCACTTGGAAAGGTCAGCAGGATGGGCCCTAACCCTTGTCGCTAGCAGCCTTTTTCAAAGGAGCCGCCTGCAGAGGAAACATGATGTGCGGGCCATCTACACGCCGAGGGCCCTGAGGCCAACAGACAGCACAGAGGCCCTCACAGCCACCCCGCAGGCCGGCCTTGGGTTCCCAGCCCCCAGCACTGTGGTTCTGGCCCTGGGGCCCTGGCACAACAGCTGCTCCCAGACCCCCACCGGGCCCCATGTCTCGGCTGTCACCACACTACCGGTGTGGTATCTGACCAAGGACCCAAGGATGCGCTTCAACCACACAGCAGTAGCAGAAACTCTTTATTCCAGATACACTTTCCAGGGCCGGCCCTCTGTGAGCTGGCCATCCCATCCCGGGGTCGCCAGCAGCACCTCAAGCTCAGGACCGCTGTCCTCGCTCAACAGCTCCTCGCAGTCCTCGCTGAGCTCCTCCTCGTCCCTGGGGCTGGCCTCATCCTCCTCGCTGGATAGGAACTCCAGCTCCTCACTCGGGAGCTCGGCCTGGCCCCAACTACAGCCCTCGCTCAGCTCATCTTCACTGACGCCCTCGAGCTCCTCACTGGAGATGACCTCCAGCGTGTCACTGTCCCCCTGGCTTGGGGCGTGCTCCGCTGGCTGGTCCCCGCCAGGCTGCTCCAGCTCCTCCCTGGGCTCCAGCTCCTCACTGTCCATCTCCTCGAACCCTGGAGAGCAAAGTGACGCTCACTGCACCACCCGGGCACCGGGCTCAGCCACACAATTAGCTTCCTCCAAAGGCTAAGTTCCCAGGCCTTTTTACTCACTAAGGCTCATCACAAAGACAGATGCCAGGATGAAGGGAATGTATGCTGACATGAATAGGCTCTGGAAACAGTTTTGGATTTTCAAGTTTAGCCTTGGCCTTCCGACATGAGAATGCAAGCAAATGAATGTCAGGCTACACCCAGACAGGTATCCCCGACAGCGAGTCCTGCCAGGACTTCTCTGTGAGGGCGTAATTTACCGAGTGCCCTGTCAAAATAAAGGAAGAGTGGTCCTCCTTGGGCCAATTAACACTCTGGTCGGGCTGTCTCTGTAGCCGAGCCTGGGGAGAGCTGCAAGTCAGCGGCTCAGAAGTCGGGCTACACCGTGCGTCCGTGCTGGTTTGAGTCCACCTCCACTTCTCCCCAGGAGGACGCCTGCCCTTCAGGAGGGTTCAATGTCAGCAGGACCAGGCCTAAGCCCTCCTGTCAGTGAACATCCTTGCAGCTTGGTTCTCAGGCACAAACCTGTTTACAGCCTGTCCTGTCCAACACTTCACCCTCCACCCTCCATTCTACCCGGGAAGTCTAAGTCGCACGTGAGGTCTAATAACTGACAAATAACTTCAGCTCAGAATGCCTTGTGATAGATCTTGAACTACTTTGGAAGCCAGAACAAGAGAGAAAAACAGTCATGTGAAAATTGGAACAAAAACATAACGTGCTGTCATAAATGGGCATTACAACAGGGCTGAGTCCCCGGGAGGCGGGTGCTGATAACCATCCGTGGCCGCGCTGCCCGCCGCACGTACCGCCAGCAGGCCGCAGCGTCACTCCAAACATGCAGCAGCCGTGCAGCAGCTCCTCCTGCGTGTAAATCCTGACCGCCTGAAAGTGGAAGTCCCCTAGGACACCTATAAAAATGGATTGAAGAGGTGTCACTGCCGCCCCACGCATGGGGACCCGGCAGTCCTGGCGTTAGCACATGGAGTCCAGAATGATAATGGGACCGGCCACCTCCTAAACTGGCCTCTGAGGCCAACAGAAGAAATAGCCACCAAAATGTGCCCTGTGTCCCTAACCCGTTAAAAGAAAAACACAGGTACATAAAGGTTTCTTTATATACACAATCTCATCGTTTGGAAGATTAAGTCAAGAGATTAAAAAAACTTATGGTGGGTAAAAGAACACGCTATTTATTCACACGTAATTATCATCTCTGTATCTCCTCTCCCCTAGAAAGAACTGCTCAGGGAAAACCACGTCAATGAGGAAGCTTAGACTGTCCTGTCAGACGTTTTCCCAAGGAGAACCCAATCTGCTCACACTTCATTACCTCGGGCCTCCTCCCTTCCACTCTTCTTTAAAAAAAAAAAAAAAAGAGACATAAAAAAATAAGATAAAATCACAAGACACAAATAGTGCTAAACAAGTCCCAGGAAGCACAAGGGCAGGCCCAGCCCTAACCCAGGATGACACCCCCTGCTTCCCAAACACACCTGCTAAGGTTTGTACTGACACACAGAGGGCAATTTCCGAAGGGACAGATAATTACATTCACCTACAGCAGGGGTAGGGAACATCGGACACACAGGCCACATAAAACCCGCCAAATCATTTGGTGTGACCTTAGCCAAGGCATTAAGAGTGAGTTGATTAAGTATTTGACAAAACAGAGCAGGCTACTTATGGCCCGAGAATGATGTTAAAAATATTAATGGCCCTACACAGAAACAAGGTTCCCCACCTTGGTTCACAGGGAGGCAGTCCAAGCCACCTTTGACAGTTAAGGCGGCAGTAACTACAAGTCTTCAAAAGAATCACACAGTGCGCCCCCATCTCCAAAAATTCCTCTGCTTTGCTTTCATTGTTCCATTTGTCAATTAAAAGGCTCCTAAGTAAACATTTTACAGATATCACGTAAGCTACTATCTTACAGCCAGGCCACCTCACAGCAGAACAAGGAAGTCTGAAACCCCCCTGAGCACAAGGCAGGCCCAGCCCCTGCCGGCCTCAGCAATGACTTGCTCCTCCTCGAGCAGAGAGGGCAGGGCTGTTTGGTCCCATCAAAACCAGGCTCCAGAAGAACGGGTTCACACAGGATGGGCCTCCCCCTCCATGAGCCAAAAGAAGAAAAGGACAGTGGAGGAACTGTGCCCTGCTCCCCGGTCCCTCAGACACTCCTGGACACGGAGGTGACGGGACAAGCAGCGGGAACAGCTCAGCTCCTCTAGAAACACCATCCTCTGGACCAAGGTCGCTGTGCAGGCCTGACTCACCACAACACCCCACACACCGCACTGAGACACAAGCAGCAGCGATCCCAGGTCCTCCACACTGCGCGCTGTGGCTCGGGCTTCATCAGAACCACACTCAGAGGTCAGCTCCCACGAAACAGGAGCGCATTTCCATACCTGGGCACCTGTCTAATTCAGGCGGCAAAAGAAGTTAATTATAAAAGAATACATAAAAACCTTCATTATGTCAATGTGCAAGGTAAAAATTCAGAAAAGTCCCTGAGAAGAGGAAAGAGACCATTAGAATTCCTAAACGACAAGTCAGATGACAAGACACAACAGTGTTAAACAGAAAAGGCGCCACCAGTCCTCCTGTGAATCATGGTGACACCAAGTAGACAGCAACCCTGACAATGAACTTACCAAAGAAGTCGAATGAAAATGGGTCCCTTCCACCAAAAAATTCCCTGAACACGTCATCTGGGTTCCGGAATGTGAAGCCGAACTCGAACGGGTTGTCGAAGTGACTTCCACCTGCACAAGCACAGCACACTCACTTATCAGTTCTTGTTCAGGGCAATCACTTGTCCACAGAAAATTAGCAAATTTCAAGACCTTAAAAAGTATCCCAGCCGAAACTGGTTTGGCTGAGTGGATAGAGTATTGGTCTGCGGACTGAAAGGTCCCAGGTTCGATTCCAGTCAAGGGCATGTACATTGGTTGCAGGCACATCCCCAGTAGGGGGTGTGTAGGAGGCAACTGGTCGATGCTTCTCTCATATCGATGTTTTTAGCTCTCTATTCCTCTCCCTTCCTCTCTGTGAAAAATCAATAAAAGATATTAAATTAAAAATTTTTTTAAAGTATTCCATAAACCTGAGGCTCTAACATTCAAAACCATAGCCCCGCCCTGACTCAGGTGACATGTGTTTGGACTTCAGTGCTCCAGAAGGTCATGTCAGCAATGTGGCTTCCCTTCCTTCCCACCATCTCTCAATGTGTCATCAGCACATCCTCTCTCACCAGGTTTATTTTTTGTTAGGGAACTTCATGTAAACCAAGTGTACTAGGGTAGTTTTGGAGTCTTGATTCCAAATGTACACCACAGGCGATTACAGAAACTTTTCGTCAAAAATACACCTGTCTAGCACTGGCCAAGTGGCTCTGTCAGCTGAAACATTTGCCCATACACCAAAAGATGACAAGCTGATTCAGTCAGGGCTCGTGCCCAGGTTCTGGGTTCGACCCCTGGTTGTAGCGTGTAAAAGATGCAACCAATCGATGATGTTCTTTCGCTCAGGTGAGAATAAAATAAAATAAAAATACACCTGTCTAGCTTTACCACCAGAGCTAGTGATTTTAGTTTTTCAGTAGATCTGTTTTTAACCCCCGAGGATATTTTGACATAAAGGGTGGTGATGTGTACAAACTCCCGGTATATCATGTGAGTCTAACAAAAGCCTCCTTCTAGGCTATGTGAACGCTGTCGCTATGACCTTCCACTGCCTCAGCCAGGGGCTGCATCTGTACTCACTGAAACTCACTGTCCCAGCAAGCTAACAAATTCCAAACCTTTTGTTGCCAGAAAAAAAATCAACATTTACATACCTCCACCTCCACCTCCACCATTTAATCCTTCTTTGCCATATCTGTCATAGATGTCCCGTTTTTTAGCTATAAATTTAAAAAGAAAAGTCAATAAAACCAAGTTCCCGTCCCATCCAAGTGCAATAGATAAAGTTTTCCAAGTTGCAAGTCAAAAACAACACAGTTCTGTGTTCACTCTCAGTGATAAGGAGTTGGGACCAGCTTACTTTAAATGACAAGGGGGGTTCAGGGAAATCTAAGTACAGCTCTCCATACTCAGATAATGAATAATTATGAAGTTTAAAACATGATTATAAACATTAAATATTTCACTTTACCACCCAGAGAGACTACATGTGCTATATTACATCATATCACAAAGTAACAAAATTCTTCCTAGAAGTGATGGTAGGAACTGAAAACAAGAAAAGGAACCTGCCCTGATCTACAACCTAGCCAAGCCTTTCATGACATGCAACTTTCCTGTCCTCATTACCTTCTAGAATGAAAAGAATGGCAATGCAGCCCTATTTACACAGCAACCCTGTCAGTTCTTCTGGCACACCACCACGGGTTCTCCAAAACCGTGCGATGAAATGCAGGGCTGGGGGAAGTCAGGCACAGGAGCAAACCACTCCCAGCCAGGAACCAGAGTCTGGGTAAGAACAATAGCTGTACCTGTGAAGGGGATTCCCAGCAGTCTGGCTGGGGTTCAAGGCTGAATAAGAGACCATGAAAATTGCACACTCCATCAAAAAAAAAAAAAAAAAAAAAAGGGGGGGGGGGGTGGGGGGCAACAAGCCTGGCTGGTGTGACTCAATGGTTGAGCCTTGACTCAGGAACCAAGAGATTGCCGGTTCGAGTCCTAGTCAGGACACATACCTAGGTTGCATGTTCAATTCCTGGTAGGGGCCATGCAGGAGGCAGCCAATGTTAAATCTCTCATCTGTGTTTCTCTCTTTCCCTTCCTGTCTCTAAAAGTCAATTTGGAGGGGGTTATTTTATATTGATTTTGGAGGAGGGTGGGGGGGCATGGACACATCAATGATGAAAGGGGATCATGGATCGGCTGCCTCCAACAGGACCCCTACTGAGGAGTCACTGCCGCAGCCAGACCTGTGCTCTCCACCAGAACGAACCCGAACCCTTCAGCCTGCAGGCCGACACTCTACCCCCGAGCCAAACTGGCCAGGCTGGTGTGGCTCAGTGATTAAAGACAGGGCACATGCCGTTTGTGGAGTCGGTCTGTTTCTGCCCATCATCTCCCTTCCGCTCTGAAAAATAAAAAGAGGCCAATAAAGTTTTAAAGGGGTTTTAAAGATCCTCTTTCTGTGTGCAGGAGGCAGCTGATCGATGTTTCTCTCTCATCGACATTTCTAACTCTCTCTCTCCCTTCCACTCTGTAGAACATCAATAAAATATATTTAAAAAAAAAAAAAGACCCTCTTTCTGCGAATTTCAAATTTGAGCTCAATATGCCCTGACTAATGTTCCTGGCCTAGGGAACCCACAAAAGAGACATAGGTCCCCTGTGTTCATGTTAGTCCAGCTCAAAAGCTGGACCATCAATTTAAGACCTTAATGTTTCATTATAATAAGACTAGTGGCCCAGTGCATGAAATTCATGCGGGGGGGGGGGGGGGGGTGTCCCTCAGCCTGGCCTGCACCCTCTCCAACCTGGGACCCCTTGAAGGATGTGCAACTGCCAGTTTACAGGGATAAGGACCTAAACCGGCAGTCAGACATCCCTCTCCCAATCCGGGTCTGCTGGCTCCTAACTGCTCACCTGCCTGCCTGATTGCCCCCAACCACTCTACCTGCCAGCCTGCTCACCCCAACTTCCCCTGGCCGCCAGCCTGCTCACCCCCAAATGCTACCCCCACTGCCAGCCTGACACTTTCAACTGCGCCCCCCCACCCCGTGCCAGTGTGCTCGCCCCAACTGGCCCCCTGCTGGCCTGCTCACCCCCAACTGCCCCCCCCCAATAGTCTAATCACCATAAATGCAATCCCATCCTGACCTGATCACCCCCAGCTGCCTTCCCCTCTTGGCCTCTAAGCTCCTCTACCTCGGCCCTGCCACCATGGCTTTGTCCAGAACGTCCAGAAGGTCTCCTGGAAGGTCTCCCAATCTAATTAGCATATTAACTTTTAGTTAGTATAGACAGAGGCCTGGTGCACAGGTAGGGGCCGGCTGATTTGCTCTGAAGGGTGTCCCAGATTAGGGTGAAGGTTCCCTTGGGGCAAGGGGCAGCCTAGGCGAGGGGCCTGTGGTGGTTTGCAGGCCAGCCACGCCCCCATGGGGTAAGGGTCCCCACTGGAGTGCCTGGACAGCCTGGGTGAGGGGCTGAGGGCTGGGTACAGACTGGCCACGCCCCCCCACCCAAGCCCCTTTTTGAGCGGAGGTCAGGTTGTGGGGGTGCTTGGTTTCCTCCATTGCCAGGGGCAACCCAAGCCTCCTGCTTGTTCCAGCTGTATGGCCGCTGCCATCTTTGTTGGGTTAATTTGCCTCCTCGCTCCTGATATGGCTGGTGGCTATAGCAGAGACAGTCAACGTGCATGTTTCTCCTTTATTAGTGTAGATGACTGACAGGCATCCGTGTTCTTGTACTTTCATAATTAACCAAAGTTACTTGTGAAATTAGATGCCAAGGCCTTCCTTTAAAATAAAGAAGGGAGCCACTAACGGATACAAGATGCTCCCATATATTGTAGTAACTGTTGATATGGTTGAGCGTAAAATGGTGTTTGTCCCAACATAAAAAATGACTTTTTAATAGTGAACCCAGCCCTAGAAGGCCTGACTCAGTGGACAGAGTGTCAGACTGAAGGGCCCCAGGTTTGATTCGAGCCAAGGGCACATGCTTGGGTTGCAGGCTCACCCCCCAGTAGGGAGTATGCAGGAGGCAGCCAATCAATAATTCTCTCATTATTGATGTTTTTATCTCTCGTTCCTTCTCCTGTCCTCTCTGAAATCAATAAAAGAAATATCCTATCTAATAAAGAAATATGCTAATTGACCCTCACATCATCACAAATATGACTGCACCCACAGCCAATTGGAGACACTATGCTAATTTATTGCCCCACCCTCAAAGATTGTGACACCCAGTCAATAAGGAGAGAATCTTGACTGTCCCACCTCAAAAATGGCTGCACCTACAGCCAATAAGGAGGGAATATGTTAATTGACTGCCCAGCCCTCAAAGATGACAGTACCCACAGCCACAAGATGGTGGCGCCCAGTCCACTCAGCCCCACTAGGGCAGCAGGTGTACTGCCTGGGGGCAGGCCCGGCCACTCCATGCACCTACCTCCATAGTCCCCCAGGCCCCTCAACACTCCAGGGCTGGCCCAAGGTGCAGGCAAGCCTTGGATGGCGGCTGCCCAGCTGCTGCCCCAAGCGCAGGCATGCCTCACATGTCAGCTGCCCAGCCGCCCAGAGTCGGCCTGAGGCGCAGACACGCGGGGGTGTGATGGGGCATCGCCTTCCACTCCTGAGGGCTCCCAGACCGTGAGAGGGAGCAGGCCAGGCTGAGAGACCACCCTCCAGTACATACATTTTCATGCCTGGCCTCTAGTATTTAATAAAAAAAATTAGTGACCCTGACCTATGCAGACACATCAAGTGAATCAGCCTCTACCCTTTCAAATGCCTCTATCTTGACTCACACTACGTTATCTAGTATTGCTTCCTGGCAAGGCTGACCAGTGGTTTTCCGGATTCCTTATAGAGTCCCTCTACCCCAGAACCCAGACATGTCTCCTCTTCACCAAGAACTGTGGACTGGATTTGTTAGCAGCTAAGCTTTAGCATGACTCACGAAACTAGGCGAATGGACCTGACTTCCATTAGCACTCAATACCTATGCTCTCAACCAACCAAGAAAGTCGAAAGTAGTCTTCTTGGGCACCACTGCCCAGTGAGGTCTTGCCCTGGGGTCACTTACCATCAGAGAGCACCTCATACGCCTCAGCTACTTGTTTGAATTTCCTCTCCGCTTCTTCTTTATTCTCAGGATTTTTATCTGGGTGCCACTTCAATGCCAGTTTCCGATACCTTTAAAAGAGTAAAAAGGTATCGATCACAACCAAAGTCCAAAAATCCAATAGTCTCTGAAACAGAATGAGACAAAAAAATGACTTCAGAGCTACAAACTCCCTTTTTCATTCAGAACCAAATTAAGTAGCTCTAAAACCCAGAGAACATAATACACACAGATCTCCATCAGTAGAAAAGTGTTTGCTGTGAGGACAAAGTGTGCACAGCACGGGCTCAGACGTGAGGCTGAGATGGCCCTGCTCACTGAGCACTGAAAGGCTGCCGCACGACCGTCCTCCTGCCTTCACATTCTCGTTCCTCACAGGGAGGCTGCTGTCTCAGCCACAGCAGTCATGTAGTCCCATTCTGGAGGCAAGTCTATGGTCATAGTAACATGAAAATCACAAGCTTTATAGATTTTAAAATATCCTGCCATGGAAGGTGTTCCCCATGGTTAGAGCACATCAGCCTGCACATGGAAAGGTCATGGGTTTAATCCCAATCAAGGGCATGTACCTGGACTACAGGGTGATCCCTGGCCTCAGTCAGGGCATGTGAGGAGGCAACCAATCGATATGTATCCCTCACATGGATGCTTCCCTTTCTCCCTCTCCACTCTCTCTAAAAATCAATGGGAAAATATCCTCAAGTGAGGATTAACAAAACAAATCCTGTCTAATACCGTTTCCCCGAAAATAAGACAGTGTCTTATATTAATTTTTTCTCCCAAAGTTGCACTAGGTCTTATTTTCAGGGGATGTCTTATCTTTCCATGCGCTAGGTCTTATTTTCGGAGGAAGTCTTATTTTTGGGGAAACATGGTATTAGCTAAACATTAAGTAGCATATACTTAGTATGAGGACATTAAATGAGGAGAGAGGGTGCCCTTTAAAATCTAAGACTAGAATAAGAACCACATGAGGCTTTATCATGGAGAAGCAGACCCAACCCTTTAAAAGGCTTCAGCCCTCCATAAAAGATGACAGAGCACTGGGAGAACTGGAGAGAAGAACAGGGCACGCAGGTGGGTTCGACTGCAAGTCGGGTCAAGGCCAGCAGAGTGTAGTGTCCTGTGCTTCCACCCAGATTTCAGGCTTCCCCACCTGGGCTTGAGCAGCAGGGCGGGGGCCACGAGGAGGGCCCGTAAGCACACACAGTACTGGGGGTTTCCTCAGGGGGGAAGACAGCCACACACCTATAAGCCTCACCGTTTTCCCAATCATCTCACATGAACGAGGATGAGTCCACAGAATGGACTGTTCTAAGAACATACACCACCCATAGCTGCAATTTTCTTCATTAAAAATAAATGAGGCTAGCCCTAGCCGGTTTGGCTCAGTGGACAAGAGAGTCAAGGGCACATGTCAAGTTGTGGGCTCAATCTCCAGTAGAGGCGTGTAAGAGGCAGCCAACCAAGGATTCTCCCCCCCACCCCCTTCCTCTCTGAAATCAATAAGAACATCCTATCTAATAAAAGAGTAATATGCAGATTGACCATCACTCCCACACATAAGATGGCTGCCCCATGTGGTCAAAGATCCTGCCCCCATGTGGACACAAGATAGCCAGCAGGGGAGGGCAGTTATGGGCAATTAGGCAAGCAGGGGAGGGCAGTTGGGAGGGACCAGGACTGCAGAGGAGGACAGTTGTGGGCGATGAAGCCTGCAGGGAAGGGCAGTTAGGGGTGACCAGGCCGGCAGAGGAGGGAACTTGGGGGCAAACAGGCTGGCAGGAGAGAGTTAGACATCTATCAGGCTGGCAAGAGAGTGGTTAGGGGGTGATCAGGCTGGCAGGCAGAAGTGGTTAGGGGCAATCAGGAAGACAGGCAGGCGAGCAGTTGGGAGAGAGCAGTCCTAAATTGTGAAAGGGCAGTTGGACATCCCTGAAGAGGTTCCAGATTGGAGAGGGTGCAGGCTGGGCTGAGGGACACCCCCCAACCCTCCCGTACATGAATTTTGTGCACTGAGCCTCTAGTATTAAAATAAATAAATAAGGCTAAATCAAGTCTGTCAATATTTATTCATTCAACTGCACAAGACAAAATGGGAACATCTTTTAAAGTACTAGCATTTTCTAAATTCATATCTCATCACCCTGGGACTCTGATGCCCCATGCTCACAGGCACTGGACCCTTTATGTTAACATCTAATGATGCCCTGGCCAGGGCTCAGTTGGTTAAAGCATCAGCCTGATACGCCAAGGTTTTGGGTTCCTCAGGGCACATACAAGTAGCAACCAATGAATGCATAAGTAGAACAACAAATCAATGTTTACCTCTCTCTCTCTCTCTCAACAACAACAACAAAAAAAAAAAAAAAAAAAAAAAAAAAAAAAAAAAAAAAAAAAAAAGCCCGAAACCGTTTTTGGCTCGGTGGATAGAACGGGGTGTGCAGGAGGCAGCCGATGAATGTTTCTCTCTCATCAATGTTTCTAGCTCTCTATCCCTCTCTCTTTCTCTCTGAAAAAAATCAATAAAATATATTTTTTTAAAAATTAGGAGCATTTTTATCAACCCCTTAATATTTTGCTTCCCAACAATTATCATCAGTTTGGCTCAAATTAGCTCAAATTATCAAAAGCAACAACAAAACATCTAATGAATCAATTAGATCCAAGTCACAGTCAGAGGAGCAGGCTGGTCTCCCAACAATGGGGATTTTCAGACGACCCCACAGGATGCTTGTGGCACCACACTCCCCAAGTGCCAAGTCAACTCCATTTCAAAGTCCAATGCCAGGCTCTCTGGGGTTACCTCACATACTCAGGAAGTTTGACCCACTTTGAGCAGAAACAGAATCCACTGTCCCAAGGAAAGAAACAGAGGAAACCATGCGACCTAACACCGCCCCCCCGCCCAATGCCGTTGTGATACAGAGTTATGCTGTCCAACGGCACAGACGATTTAAGAAATACAATTACTTACGCCTTTTTAATGTCCTCGGCGGAGGCATGTCTCTGCACGCCTAGAACTTCATAGTAATCCACCATGTTTTACAGGCTGTTGGAACGAGTCCTGCTATTAGAAATCCAGGGTCAGTGACATCAGGGCAGGGAAACAGTGGACTTCCCAACTTTTTTACCTCATGGCACATAAGCTAATTACTAAAACTCTGCAGAACACCAAAACATATTTTGCCAACCTGACAAAAAAAAAAAAAAAAAAAATAGGTACAGTTTTGATTCATTCACACTGGATGGCTATGGTGTTGGCTGTTTTCATTTGACAATCCAAGGAGAAAGAGGTCAGTGCCCCTGACTACATAGGCTGGTATTGCATTTCTAAAAGTTTTTGCAGTACACCAGTTGAAAATCGCCAACCTAAACAAAATAAAACAGGTGACTTGCCAGAGATGTGGTGCCCACCTGAGCAGCAGCAACTGACAGGCCCCTGGCAAACATCCTTTCTCGCCTGAATGCTCAGAAGCTTGTTGCCTCGTCCCTTATTTGTGTCCCATGTCAGGCACTGGGCAGCACATTGGGGCCACCAGGAAAGAGTGCCTCACCCAGAGGATCCACAGCATGGAACCACACACCTTCGTCTCCCCACATCCTGGGAGGGAAAGGGGGGCCATCTTTAAGGGCCATCAGTGTGAAGTAACGTGAAATTCAGAAAATAATAATATATAACCTCAAATACACCAATGAAAGTTCCAAATATTAAATGTTTTTAAGAAACTCAATAACTGTACAGACTACAAATTTGCCACTTAGACTACTAAAATATGGCCCTCGCAGGTCTGGCTCAGCGGATAGAGTAGGGGTGTCGAACTCAATCAGAGAAGGGGCCAAAATCTAAAATCCAGCCTAAATCGCGGGCCGAATGGTTTACTGAACAGTCATAAACTGTCATTGTGATGGAAACGCAGCAGAGTGCAGCGATAACAGCGTGGTGCGGGCCACATTGCAAGGCCTGGCGGGACGGATTTGGCCCACGGGCCTTGTGTTTGACACATGTGGGATAGAGCATCGGCCTGAGAACTGAAGGGTCCCAGGTTTGATTCTGGTCAAGGGCACATGCCCAGGTTGCAGACTCACTCCCCAGGAGGGGGTGTGCTGGAACAACCCATGGTTCACTCTCATCACAGATGTTGTTCTTTCCCTGTCCCTTCCTCTGAAATCAATAAAAATGAATTTTTTTAAAAACAGAATAGTAAAATACGTATTTCTCAAGTAGAGTCCCACCATGTTTTTTAAATTACCAATTAGCCCAGCCAGCATGACTCAGTGGTTGAGCATTAACCTGTGAGCCAGAAGTCACAGTTAAGTTTTCAGTCAAAACTCTGATGGATAATTCTCTCTCATCATTAATGTTTCTGTCTTTCCCTCTCCCTTTCTCTCTGACATTATATATAAATATATAAATATATAAATATATATATATAAATATATAAATATATATATATAAATATATAAATATAAATATATATATATATGTGTATATATATATATATATATATATATTTATTTTTTAAATTACAAACTAGGGGGGAAAGACGCTATAATTACTATTTTCTTGTAATTCCTCCAACCTGGCATTCAAGTCCAGCTAGCTGAGAGGCACACACCAAATGTGGCACAATAGTTAGTGGAAGGCATGTCTGGGTTCAAGGTTGTTCACTGCAGTTTTTTCCATTTTTTAAACATGTTCAACGTAAGATCTTAGGGAAACTGTTTTAAATGCAATCAATTAAAAGATACGGGAGTGAGACAACTAAAGTTTTTCTCACTGGTAGTTACATCATTCAACGCAGAGTGGCAGCAGTGAGAATGTTAAGTTCAACCTGGAAATGACCACCCACAGAAGTGGCCGTTCTTATGACCAGAGGCACAGCAACCTGCAATCTTCAAGAATTAAAAATCTGGCCATCAGCCACAACAGTGGCGCAGCCGCCAGAAAGCAGCAGAAAACTAGCATGCATGCCTCAGCTCTACTCAAAAGACTAAGGATACGCTGGGCTACATTCGCTGGGAGCTATTGTAGCCACAGGTCTGCGGCAGTCTTAGCAGTGACAAACAGGGAATGATGCCAGCCCATTGTCACAACAGGAGAGACACCTCTGCACAAAGCTCCCACTTCAGAGGTCATCTGATGTGTCAGAGGCCATGCTTAGGTATTTTTGCTACCATTTCAAAGCCCAGGCCCAGGTTCTCCAAGTCCCAATGGCTCACCTTATATTTGCAATAAGTATGACGTTTGTACAAACAATTATGGTTTTGTGGCAGCCAGATCCTCAAGGCAGTTGGCACAGCCATGGGAAGATGGGTGGAACTCAAAGCCTTGCCTACCAGGTAAGTTCGTGATTGCTCAACCACCTACAATCCCCCGGGGAGACTCCTGCCCCCAGGCACTCCTGTGAACATGGTCAGTGCACACAGGCGCCCTCCAAGGCTAGTGCTTTTCTTCTTTCTAAACGAAAACCACCCCATGAAGAAAATTCAAGTGAACTGAGAGAGACCAATCACATCCTGCCACCCGTTTTTGCCAATGCTGACCCTTCTCTACTCCCTCATCCAACCCTGGCCAGCTCCCACCCAACACCTGAAGCATCCTCTTATTTAGAGTCAAGAGCCAGCCTCCCCATTAGCATCCCAAGAGACATTTTCAGGGCTTGTTCTGTGTGACTTTCCAAAGCGCTGTGCACACTGGGCTTTCTGGTCGAGGCAGTCTCTGGTCTGCCTCTCCTGCCAGCTCGCTTCCTTCCACAAGACCTGCTGGGAAAGCTCGGGCACGCCCACTGGTTAAATAGCATATATTTAGCAATGGTTCTCCAACTGTGTGTCCAACCCTGGGTCTCTCTTATGTACATCACATTGATAGACAAACAGCTACTTGACTTAGCCATCTGGACATCTGACAGATATCTCAAATAGAACATGACCAAATCTGTTGACTACCCCCCAACAGATCCCACCTGGTCATTCTCTAATAAATTCTACCTTGAGCTTCCAAGCTGCATGACTAGAAATATCACCAGCATCACCATATACAAAGTGAATTAATTCAGCTTTGTCTAGTGTCCAGCAAACTATCTCAAATACCTTTCCTTTTCTCCATCTTTAATGGTACCAGCAGTGCCACCCTCACCCACTGCAGATGCCGGCTGACTCAAGCACACCTTCCCCTCTCAGTGGAGGTGAGCTGATCACTGATAAGCAGTGCATCCATCAGCCACAGCACAGGAGAAACCAGCTGTCCCACAAGTGCAGGACTCCAGTGCTCACTGCTACCGACAGTGGGCACCTGCACGTCTCTCCCTTTGGGGAGAAGGCAGATGAAATAAAATTAATTGCCCTGCTCATGTACGTCTGGGGCTGAAGAGATACAAGAGCCTCGGACATGGGTCAGGCAAGAAAGGAAAGAAGCTGCAAAAATTACAGGCCAACTCAAGGGACACAAGGAATGACTGAGGAAGTGGACCAGCATGGAGGTGACTAAGAATAGACCACTAAATGCCATCTGGCTCCTGGAGTAGGAAAAGGTCATTCATGAACACTTGATGGGATAGAACAGTCTGTAGTCAACAGTCCAGTAGCAATGCTAATCTCTCACAGAAGCTGGTGTAAGGAAAGCTGGGTGAAAAGGCACACAGGAAAACCCTTGTACCATCCTTACAACTCCTCTGTAAATCTAAGATACTTCAAAATTAAAAATAAAGTCAAAACAAACAAGTACAGCCATGTCAAAAGGACATGAGTCCTGAGGGTGTGTCTCAGTGGTTTAGTGTCGACCTATGAACCAGGAGGTCCCAGTTTAATTCCTGATCAGGGCACATGCCCAGGTTGTGGGCTCAGTCCCGTGTGGGGCATGCAGGAGGCAGCTGATGTTTCTATCTTTCTCTCCCTCTTCTTTATTCTCTGAAATCAATAAAAATATATTTAAAAAAAATAAGTGAATGAAAATAACATCTCTTTCCCCCTGGCTAGTGCTGCTTAGTGGTTGGAGCATTGGCCTGAGCATCGAAGGGTCTAGGGTTTGATTCCTGGGTCAAGGGCACATACCTAGGTTATGGGTTCGCTCCTCACTCCTAGTCAGGGCTTATGTGAGAAGCAACCAGTCTCTCACATCGATATCTGTCTGACCCTCCCTCCTTTGATCCTTCCCTCCTCCTTCCTTCCACTCTCTCTGAAAAGCAATGGAAAAAAATACCCTCAGTTGAGGATAACAAAAAAGTAAAATCTTTTTTTATTCCTAACTGACCAGCATAACAACAATAATTATTCGATTATACAGGCTTCTGTGTATCCATATACTTGTAAGTGAAATGAATGACCATGACAGGCAGGGAGGGAGGAATTAGGAATACCTATCTGTTTGTAGAAGATATTTTGAAGCGAGCTAGTGTTCGGTCCATGTATCTTCCGCTGGTTACATGACAATCACGTAGAGGATTAAGAAGCCCATTTCATGGTGCTGTTTCATGTCACTGCCCTTCACAGAGGTGTTTTTGGTAAGCTAAAAGCAAGACCCTCTGCCAGCAAAAAGATTATGCTCCCGTTACTGTGATTGTCTCCTTACTGATAGCCCTGATATCTCCAGGGTCTGCCTGTGTAACAAATACTAAGGACAAAAAACAGTCAAATAAAATGTTCAACTAAAGGCAGAAAAAGGTGTAAAACAAAAACAGCAACAAAGAATAAAGGCAACAGGTAATAACAAATATGGGAGCAATTAACCCAACTCCACAATCTTCACTTCCTATGCCAATGGTCTGAAGCCTCCTAACCACACGCCCACCAGGATCTCCTGTACTCTGCGTGACATCCACGTCACCCCACTCATGCAGCTGACCACATCAGAAACCTAGGCGTGCCTAAGATCTGGCCTTCCCCACCACCTCCATAACCAATTACCTGTTAATCAGCAGCTTCCCGTGCCCTGATTTAAACACTCATTTCTGTCAGGCACACCACTGCCAAACACTCACACCACACATTAGGCAAGTCAGTTATTCAAACCTTCCAACAATTCCCTACAGTTTAGGTTTTACCAACTTCTGGTCTAGTTCTTCCTCTACA